AGTTCAGTGTCTTAACCACTGAGCCACCGTGGCCCCATAGAGTCTTAGGCAGGGGTCTTTTAGCTGGAGCTACCAGGGACTGAACCTGGGACCTTCCGCATGCCAAGCTAGGGATGCTAGCCTCCAGGTGGGACCTGGGGATCTCCTGGAATTGCAGTTCATCTCCAAACTACAGAAATCAGTTCTCTTGGAGAAAACGGATGCTTCAGAGGGTGGACTCTATGGTATTGTACCTCATGGAGGTCCTCATCCTCTGCAGGCTCCATCTCCAAAACTCCAGGAGTTTCCCAACCTGTATCTGGCAGCCCTGCCTCCCCATCCCCCGCTGGTGGCTAATCTCACTCTACTATAGAGCCGTAGCCCTCCCCAAACATCATTGTGTGTCTAGGGATGACAGGCTGTGCAGCATGGGACTTCCCTTTTGCTCTCTCCTGCTGCAAACTACTGAGCTCCCTCACATTTTGTTCCTGAGTGGCAGAGCACCTTCATGATGAATGACAGACAGGGCTAAGGTGGGCGTTGCAGTGGGAGAGGGGGAATCTGTGGGAATCCCTGCCCCCTCTTCTGAAGATTTAAGTGCCCTTAAGTCTTTGGAAGTGCAAGCTTTGGTACATGCCACTGTTGAGAAGACATAATTTGTTAAATACAAGGACAGACTTGGGAGATGATTGAGCTGTGTATTTTTGAGCTTATGCTGTGATCAGTCTGTTAGAAATCTGAAAACGGTTACAAGCATTTCTTTGTCTTCTGAATTTCTAAGGTACAGTACTTTCTCCTAACACCATTTGCTGACCGCTCTGTTCTTTAGATTTCTCCATGTGCCAAAAAGGAAAAAGGGAAAAAAAGGTTACGATTATGGTCTTAGAAAGCCAGCATTTATTGCTCTAGAATCTCTTAAAATGTACTAAGGTGCTTCATATGTTACACATTTCATGCCCTTGAGTCCACATGTAGCCCTACCATGTACGTTTTACAGCCAATGGGTGCAATTTGGGCTTGCGTGCCCATCTCATCCCACGAATCCTTGATGTTAATTGGGACTTATGCAAGTGGACCCTGCTCACGTGATTCACCTGCCCCTTCTGGTGGTAGAAAGAACAGCTCACACTGGAGGTTCTGTGAGCCGTAGAGGGGAGGGCTGTGTGTCCAGCACCTGCTCTTTGTAATACCTTTGAACCTGCACTGAGGCCATGTGTGAAGTCAGCCAGAGGAAACATTAGAGAGGCAGGGAAGGTACACATGGATACATGAAGGTTGCACGAACCTCCATATTATAATATATTTGTGTGTGTGTGTGTGTGTATGTAAATTTAATGATGCAAAACTGCCCCTTACTTGCATTGCGGTTCAATGAACCACTTGAATACCCTCTCCAAATTCAAAAAACTATTCTCTTTATATTTGCTTTAGGCAGGGACAGAAGAAGCCTGTGTGTGAGTGAAGGTATTATTTTGAATGAATTGACAGAAGCTGGTTGAACCTGGTCTAGTCAGTTTCTCCACTCCCTGGAACTTGCTGGAGCTTGGAATTTAATTTTTAAAAACTGCCCTGGCTGAGCAGAATGATCACATTGTAATTCGTGCCACCAAAACACCACGTGACATTCATTACAGGCAGCCAGCATATCCCATGTGATAACTCAGTCATGTGATGTAGAGCCGTTGCCT